GAAGGATGTACAGACTGTCAGCAAAGAAATCAACATTAATAGATGTAGTTCAGACCATTGCAACCTACTGAACCATGCAGTGCCATAGGATAATTTGTTAAGGTTAGAAGGGAGGAAAGCCACCAGACATTTGGGCTCCATTTCTTTCAAAAGGCATTAGGTATGTCCTTGAATGTAATACAGACTATTGCCCATTCAGTGCGCACACAATGAAAATTACTGGAAACATTTACCACAGGATATTAGTAACAAAGCCGACTTGCACTACATGAAACACAAATATCTCTTTTTATGACGTGACAATCAGAGCCTTCTCTGTGCATTAACAAGCTTATCTTCACTCCACCGTTTGTAAATATAGTGTACGCAGCATCCTTTGCTCAGACCTATTTCTGGACCACCATCATCTGCACCATCTCAGCCAAGTGGAAGTAAAACATCCCTTATGTAACGCTGTAATCTGGCCTCATTCTGTGTTGTCTGTGCTCAATTCCACTCGAGTTTCCCCCTCTGCTCACTAAACTGTGGCAGTCCTCAGCTGACATTATGTAACCAGCAGCTGGGCAGGCTCAGAGCTTTACCTCTGAATGACAATGGGAACTAAAATTAAATCAGATGACAACGTCTGGTGCACAGATCTGTCCTAGGTGCAGGGCATTCAGGGGATAAAGGTAAAAATCAGCCATTATTTTAGTCATTTTCTGTACACAGATTGTGTAAGTAATCAATAACTTAGATATTAACTTAGATATTTTCATCATACATGATCCACTGCGTACAACATTTGCCACTGAGAACACTATTCTGCGAATATGTGACTTTAAATATGCGTTCCTAGGCCGTGTTAACAAGCTCAGACCTCCACTGTGCTTTTATGTGATGTAGTGGTTTTAGGACTGTATGAACAGACAGGGCTGCGACGGCTGAGCACAGGGAGCCCAAGGAGAGCAGCTTTAACCGTGAAGCATGCCAGCGTGAACATGTGCGCAGAGATCTTGAGGTTTATTCTACCAGACCTCCTCATTAGTAAAATGAGCAGTAAATAACAAGTTAATATATTCAAAGGCAGACAGATGAAATCTCTGGACAGTAACCTGCAATTCAATTAATCGCCCAAGATTTAAATGAGCCCCGTATTTAACTATATTACTAGATTATATTATATTTAATAATGGGTGGGGTACCGGGCTTGTTCTGTATCGGGGAGCTACAACTTTTAGTCCAAATCAAAGTTTCTTTTGATATATGTGCAACTGATGTATACCAGCCTAAAGTTTAAATACTGAATTGCATTAATAACAAAAATGTAACCAACTTATTTGCAATTCATAAACAGCTTTCTCGTAATCCGTGTCAATAACTGCACAGCCTCCCTGCCGAAATCACTTACCGTATAAACTGCCGTTGTATTATCCGCCTCTAGCCTCGGGTCGGTGGAGGTAAACTTCCCTCTCCGCACATGCGATAGATCTATATGATCCACCTGTAATGTGGATCAGAGGAAGGTGCTCTTTAAGGTGGTCCCGAGCTCATCAACAACCACATTGTGCTGGCGGTTTAAAAAAAGCAAGATAAAAACGTGCGGCGTGTGACCGCCAGAAGTCTACTGGCCGAAGGACGGCATCAAATCCAGGACTGGGAGCTCCACACCTGTCAAGCCAATGAAAAGATAGGGCAAAACTTCCGGTCACGTGTTTCAAAATTAAAGCAACCCAAAATAGGACAACAAACTAAGAAACTGCAATGACCGAAAATCAAAGAAAAAAGTAACAATGATTTGGTGAAAATGAGAAATCCCATATGTTAACCTCATAAACGAAATGTAAATTACCCCCCCCCCCAACAATACACAACTAAAACGAATTAAAACAAATATATGGAGTAGAAATGATTTAAAAATACAATTAGGACCAACAATAATCCAGTAAAACTAGCAAAACCTACACATTCAATTCTGTAAAACAGTTAGAAATTAGGTACAGGGGTTTAAAAAGAAAAAAGATACCTGGACTACTGAAAGATAGTTAAACTGATAATGTTGCAGTTTAACCAACAGATCACCTGCTTCCATCTCACCCTATCACTAGTATTTTCGTCTGTCGCACAAACGCTCTGCTGGTCCTCCTTCACTATACATGAATCTGCCCTGACGTCTTCCTCTTTTCCTTTTGCCTGGCAGCTTCATTTTCAGCATCCTTTGTCCAGTACACCCACTCTCGTGACACCCTCGTGTCAGATGCCCAAACCAATTAGTCAGTATCTATACAACAGAAACAATGCCACATGGCTACACCAACTCTTGAATAATTAATTATGGGAACAATAATTCATCTGCTCAAACATTCCCATCTCCCAGCTGTTTGATGGAAATTAAGCTTGATTTTGTACCTCTGTATTATAGATGATGCAATGCTCCTTCATTTGACTTTGATAGACTAATACCAACTTTTAGAAATAATTTTAGGCAGAACTAAAACCATCAAAATTGTACTTGTGTAATGATATGTATATAAAAGATCCTACTCCTCGTGCAGTCATTGGATGTTCATGTATTTTCACTATTCAGCCCACTACTGATTTCTATAACAAAAGACACACCCTTGCGCCTTTATTTTGAAAATCACGCCATGCAGCATCCGCTCTTCTTTTATATAACTTGACGCAACTGATGGGTTTTCAGCGTGTAAAAAGATGACACCCCGTGCGGTTGCAGAGCATGGCTGTCATTGGCTATGAGCCTCACGTGACAACCACAATAAACAACGTGACAGGTAGAACATGAGGTCCTTCATTTTATGCTTCACCCGCTTCCCATTTCCCTTAATGGCTTTTAACTTTTACAAAGTCCCTGACGTCATCCCAAGGCTGCAATAAAAACTGCCTTGGGACAACCCCCCCCCAAATTTATTCAATTAAAGTAGAAACTGACAGTAATCCATAGGATGTTTTTTACAGTTTCACCTACATGTTGGTATTAATTGCTAATTAATTACTATTACAGGCTCATCAATGAGATATGATCGCCCCATTTTTTTATTGCTTTGTAAATAGCACTTACTTTCATTAGCACCAAGTACAAAGGGTGAGCTACAGGATCCTGTTCATCCTGATCTTCCACTTGCAATGATATGGTACTAAGGTTATAATAACACAAGAACTGCATATATTAAAAACTAAATAAATAAAAAAAATTAAACAGCTTTTAGTTCCACACCATTAAGCCACTTAATGTGTTTTCTACTCTGGTAATAATTAGTGCACATTAGCCTGTCACATCCACTTTTCCTTGTCCTCTGCTTCCCATGTCAGCTGTGAATTCATCTGCCATTTTTGTTCCTGAGATGCTTAAGAGCAGAAACGTATTTATGGTTCATCACTGCCATTTAGGGAGCACAGAGCACTCATCACAGCTGCCTACATCATCATCATTCAAAGCACACTTTTGCTCCATTCTGCTGCAGGCTTTCTCACATTAAAATGACGCGCACCTCCGCACCCGAGAAGTACACAGTACAAACACATTTAAACTGGCGGCTAATGAAAATAAGTAGAAACGCAGATGTCCCCTCAGCAGAGGTTTAGCAGCTGTTAAACAACAGTAATTACTTTTAGTCTCTTCAAACACTCTGTTAAATCATGAATTCAGTTAGGAGACAGACGGCATCCTTCATAATGGTTATATATCAAGGACACTTATGAGTCCTCAGCACGCAGATTTCTATTTTTCTGCAGCAGAAAATATTTCCCAGGGACAGACATTATCTCATAGTATTTGCCTTTCATTGATTTAAGCCGGCACCTTTTAGTCCAAGCCTGCTCCCTACAGACTGTATCACCAAAACACTTGCTGCTGTATTTATTAACTGGTTGTTGTTAACTAAAGACTGTGACTTTGTGGTGCCAGGAGGAAGTGTGGGTGTGGTAACTCCTGCTCAAATTATGAGTTTTCCTGTTTCCTGACTTCCTGTAATTGAGTGGCAAATTGCGTTACAGAATCAGAATCAGAATCAGAATACTTTATTGATCCCTGGGGGAAATTATTTTTTGTTACAGTGATCTTCTGTACATTCTAAGGTAGTTTTTAAATACTGCTGGCCAGTGCTGTTGCATGAGAAATATCACCAGTGGTCTGTAACTCCATTGGATAAGGGTTTGTTGGAGTTGCTAAATCCAGCCACCAATACAGTCATAATAACTTCTTATCCCTGCTATTTATAGAACGATCATTTCTAAGTGTGCCTGGAGAAGGTCAGTGACTGAAAGGCTGCCCCTACAGAACGAACAATGCACTGCAAAGTCTTCAGTGCTTTTTTCCGCCCCATTATAATGGACCATGAAATAGAAATTTCAATAGAAATCATAAAAACGCCATGTAGTTCCCTGCCTCTGCAATCTCTGCGTAAATGTGGTCCTCTTTAGACAGCTGCTGAAACAATCCTCCTTCAAAACAAGATTTTATGACATCAGAATAATCGTGTTTTTCTTTGGAAATGGACTGTTTCCTATAACCCTCTCCATATCAGCATTCAGACACGAGCTTCATCGAGGTCCTACTTGTTAAACAGCTCCAGGATTACAAAGGTCAAAGCTTTTGCATTAAAGATAAGGGAGTAGACAGCTGTGCTGCTCAGCACTGATGTTTGTGATTTAAAAGTTCAAAGATCTTATTCTGTTACAGTGACGGCCACAAGACCAGCTTTTTTCCTTCTTGGCTGTGTCTTTGCCTCTCTTCTAGGTAACAGGTGGGTGAAGCTGACCTAGTTAGGGTTGCACTATAAAGCAGGGCTGTCGAAACCTCTCAGGGGCTCTTCTCTGCTCCTCTCCCCCATGCTGGCTTACTGACAGACAGAGCATCTCAGGTTTTCCTTTTTATTTTTGCATGCATACAGTCACTCATTCATTTACAGTTCACCGAGACGTTGTGTACATATTAATTAGCTGACAATCAAGCATACTATTTTTGGTTTTATTACTTTAATTAAAATAACGAACATCATCTATGTGAGGCCTTCATTTTGAGCCGAATTGTGACAACATACAGTTGTCTACTGTTTCCTGGTCTGATAAGACTTTTAATAACTAATTCAAGCTTGTTTGCATTATTATTCTAACAAGGGTGGAACCAAAGGGCCTTTAATTTTATAGAAAATGTTTTTGGAGGGTGTAATTTCTCTTTAAAAAGTGAAGTCTAGATTAAATTTAAAACGGTTTCTCTTCTTTGTTATTGACTTGAGTTACTCATTAAAGCCTTTTCATCTTGTTCTTCTGCCCCAGGCATCCATTTTGCAAGAAAATCTAATAGCAGTTTTTGACCATTTAGCCTAACTCTTCACTGCAGACAGGGCTGCACTCACATCAAAAGACAGAAAGCAAATCCATTAGAAATCCCCTTTAAAGGGCCTCCTCATTGATTCTCTTGACTCAAGGTCAGATTATATCTTAGGGAGACTCACAGGACGGCTTAGCCTTTTTAAATACTGAACATACTTGAGGCCAGCTCTGCATTTTAAGATTCAATAAGTTTTTATTTACCAGTTAAATCTAATTTATGGGTTTCCTTCCTACCATTTATTTTCACAGTTTAGCCTTGACTTTTTTTTGTAGTTCCGTGCAGAATAACCCTTTAAACAAATAAGGCAATCATTTACAAAAATCAAGCTTGTGCAAGACTTAGATTCAGTCTTAAAACTTCCACAAACACTGAAACAGAGAGATTATTGCATATCTTACATATCACATCAACCTGCATTTTTTTTTTTTTGTGGAAAATTTGTAACACTAAAATGTATAAAATGTAAAAAGTTGGTGTAGCATTAAAAACCCTCTACAGAAAAGATAGGAAGCTGCAGACAGCAGTATGCTGAATACTGCAGTCTAAAAAACAAATAACTAACCCTAAACACATATTTTTAAGACTGGAAGAGCATCAGTTGGAAACACTGCCTTCAAGAGAATTAAAACTACGACCAGTGAAACCAGTCACGTGGATTCCTATTATTAAGTTAATATTTGGTAAAAAGTGTGACCTCACAGTGGCATTTCATTCTGGACAATAATCCTTTGCCCACTCTCATTCGCTGGTATTTTCTTCACCCTTCACTGATCCCTTTCTCTAACTCAAACCAACACATACTGCATTTGGGTTAAATCTCAGTTTATGTCCATCCAATTATCAGTATGCTGTTCTTAAGCATACAACAGTGCAACTAAATGTGAAGCAGAGAAACAGGAAAGTTAACCCAGATCTGTCACATGAAGATCCCAAAGACAAATACCAACTTGTCCCATGTTAGTCCCAGTTCCAAAAACACGACCTAATTTTCTTAAAAACAAAATTTTCAACCAGTATAACACCGCAGACACACATTTAACTGTATAGTCTGTGGTGTAGAAAAAACTTTCTGGTTCCCCACACAACAACGATTGGGGGAAAAGAGTCAACAAAACATCACCTCTGTGCCGCATTAATGAGCACCAGCAGGAACAGTGGGGTGAAATATGATTTCCTGTGAGACACACAGTAATGAACACTGAATGCTATCAGACAAAGACCTCTCCACACTTGGTGTTTAGCGCTATATCAGAGTTTCTACAGTAATAGGGTCTCTACTCAATGTTTCCCTACAGTAATTGGCTGCAGCAGCTGTAGATGGGTTATTCTGCTTTGGCAAACTGTCCGTGAGGCATATTGTGTTTACAAAGACGCAACAGTTTTTAACTGGAGGCACACCTATTACTGCTTCGCTTTCACAAATGAGCACACAAAATGCAGGATCACCAATTTTGAGTCTGCCAGCAGACAGAAACAATATTGTCCATTTGCACACTGACAGGGTTAGTTTTTGTTTATGCTGATTACAATTTACAGGCCTTTGTTTAAAAAAAAACAACATGTTTTTAAAAGTTTACCAGGAGCCAAGATGAGGTTCTTTTTCATCCTTTCATCCACCCAAACAAAGAAACACAAAGAATCTGTTTTATACAAGAAACACTCGATTTTTATCAGGTTGATTTGTTTAACTCTGACTTTTTGGACACTCACTTTAGCTTCAGGCACACTTTTTTAGATCACTTGGACTCAGCACAGCTTAGGAAAGGATTTCCTAATAACCACTATGAACAGAAGAAAAACAAGAACCATCCTGTTCAAATTAGAAAATTTCAATTGGTTTCAAACATTATGCACCAACACTTTAACTCAAAGACATCAGAATCAGTCTGTTTTGTTAAGGCTTAAGCGCTTCTGCTAGGAAACTGTTCTACTAGCTGCCATAAAATATTTACCCTAAAAAAAGCATTAAATAGTTTTCACAAAGACATTAAAACAGAAAAAATGCATCACATGGAAGTTACTGTATAGTTTAGTTGTTTTTCACATGACGGTGTGTAGTCCTGTGAAAAACTAAGTACATATTTACTGCTTTGATAGGAAATAAGAGGGCATTTAGCAGCCAGGTGCTGCTGCTTCAATGCACTTAATTAACTGACCAATCAGTAAGTGTGACCACCTCAATAAAAGCAGTTTGGCAGTCGGCAGTCTGCAGTCTCCAAAAAAGCTCAATCTCAGCCTCTTCGGGCCCCAGTTAGCAGGTTAAATATTAAAGTTCATGGTAGTATAATATAAAAAGACTGAACACGTATGGCTTATTTGATATTATTTGAAAAAACATTCATCTTTCTAAAAATATGGCAACACAGCTTAAATTTGCAAAGTTGCATCTGAAAAACCACAGGACTTCTGGGGCAATGACGTTTGGAGACATAAAGTATGACAAAAATGCAGATATTATAGAGCCGCTACTGATGAACATCCAACACAGCATATCAGCAAACACCTCACACCGGCTGTCAGGCACAGTGGCAGAGGGGTGAGTTAGTTCATTTGGAAGCCACAGGACCTCGGCATCTTGCAGTCATTGAGTTTACAAAAAACTCCTCTGTATACCAAAGTATTCTAGAGTGAGCTGTGAGGTCAACTGTCTCACGGTTAAAGCTTGGCTGAAATTCTGCTACTTCAGTTACTGCTGCTAAAGGTGGTTCTGCAAACGAATAAAATCAGAGGGTATACTTGAATCGACTAAATTTCTTTATACACACAATGTGTGTGATATTCCCATGTTGGTGTTGTTCCTGCATCAACATTTGCTTATGTAAAACTCTCTTCTGGAACAAATAGAAAGCACTTCAAGTGTTTCCTTTATTAATGTATGCTATATAACAATATATTATCAAGTTATTTTTGCTGTTAGCCAAATTTAGCTACTCATATTGGTTTACTTGTGACAGTTTTTAATAGCATTAGCTAGCTTCTTGGCTAATGCTAACTAAATACCCAGACAACAGGACTGGTCAGTTGCAACACTGATCCTGGACCAACAATGTTTTAATTATGTAAGAACAACACCAGTGTAACAAACTAAAAAAGAAAATTCATATCAATGTTTATATTTGGCTATTTTGGCACTGAAAATCTGCCTATTGGTGTATGTCGCAGGAAGAAACAATTTCTAGCTAAAAAAAAAAAAAAAAAAGAAAGAAAGAAACAGAACAACAACCAAGATGATAAATCACTGATCAAGCTCACCAAAAATTGGAACAACTTGTAAATGAGTAAAAAAATAAATTTAAAACAGGGCAAACTCCTGGTTTTCACTGTTGTTCTGTAATGTGAAGAATACGCATACTGTAAAAATCTGTTATTACATACTAAATTGCAATTTTAATTTCCTCAGAAAAATATTTTTTCTCTTTTCTTAGAAAAAAATTACAGTATACAAAGTAATATATTAAAAACAGGTACAAATTATAAAATTCACAATATTTACTCTAAAAATGGTCATACAAGGTAAATTACGAAGCTGTTAAATTGTCTTAGAAATTATGTAAATTTGGCTTTTTCCTCATCATTTGTGGCTGCTCTGGTTGACGTCTCTGGTTCACATGAAACGGTTCTTCTGAATTCATGACAATGTCTATGGATATGGGAATAGAAAAACGGTCCATCATCTGCGCGATCTTCTCCTGAGGAACACCGTGTTTGTTCCTCCTGGAGGTAAAAGAAAAAGAAAAAAAGAGGATAATGTTAGAATGTGAAGTCTAAACTATGTCTAACAGCATTTTAATATCATGAGTCAGAAATCATACTTCTCCAGCTCGTAAGGATCATATTTCCACCTGGTGTCCGGTTCACAAAAGTCAACTTTGTATCCGCTCTCCAAAGCCTGATGCAGGAGTTGGAGGAATTCGAAGGATTAGTGAAAGTGGTATGAAATATTAACTAATAATAAAAACAACAACAACAACAACAACAATAATAATAAATATTTAGTATGGCCACTTACCATTTTGACATATGGCTTCATTTCCCAGGCTTGAATGTTTGTATTATCAATAATAATGGGAGACCGGCCATCATGAAGAGCACCTCTAGCTGAGAAGATTAAGAAAAGATTCTGACAAGTTCTGGCAAGAAAATTAAAACTGTTTTTAAACCAAAATGTTTAATTTGTTTTATGTTCCATTTAATTTGATTTTTTTTTTTCGACAATCACTTTTCGCCCCCATGTTGCTCACACATTATCAGTGGAAAAAGTCACCTACTTAACATTTCTGTTTTAAATGCTGGATAGCTAGGCCACTGAAACATCTCTTCAAATTAACACACTCGCACATTAGCACAACATTAAAACCACCTGCCTGAAAATTGTGTAGGCCAACCCACACAAAAAACAACACTAACCAATTAGGGACTTCCAGGGGTCTCCTGTGATATCAGGCACCATTAAAGTTAACAGTGAATCCTTTTGGTTACCAAGATGTTTAGGAGACCGTGTAAATGCCTTAGGCTCTTTTTTGAGTGTGTTAATGTTGTGGCTCATTCGTTTAAAATACTCTATAGACCGGGGGATCTTGCTTTTTATCAGATGAAAATGTAAACAACTACAGTACAGAGGCACTGTGGTTGCTTTACTCGTATTAAATGACTGAAATTGTAATGAGTCAATACCTCTTCTCTGATTCCACTCATGTGCTGCTCCAAGAAGACTAGGATCATAGTGGTAGCCATCTTTGTGTGCAAAGTAATCATCTGTGCTCAAAATGATCCCACTGGGGCCAGTGGAGAGCAGCTCCCTGTGGGAAACAATCGGTGTCAAACTGCTGTTTTTAAGCTATAATTTCAGATAAGAATAAATAGATCGAAATTAAATTAAGATTACACACAGATTTACCTGGCACGTGTGGATTTCCCAGATCCTGGCAATCCCCGCATCAAGATCAGCACCAGGGCTGAATGGCATGCATGTGTGTCGTCACGCGGCTGATAGTAGTGCTGTCGCTCCCAAGGTTCATTTTCTGAATCACATCTCTGGAGCCTGTCATAATCTTCATTTAACTGAGAGACCTCTTCACTTCTATCTCTAGGCCACCTGACATTTTCATTAGCTGAGTGTCCATCATAGCTGGAGCCATGCACATCCCTGTCAAACTGATGTTGAGGACCTCCATAAAATCCCTGAGAGTGGTGTCTGGAAACATTTGGAGGTGGGAATCTATAAAAAGGTGGAAACCGCAGCTCCTCTTGAAAGCGGTTTGCCATGCTTGGATGTTGAAAGGTAGGGTTCACATGTGGTGGTGGGTTTTGTAGATTTGGGAATGCATACGGTGGTGGTTGGTGAGGGAATGGTGGGCTCTGAAATCTCAGGTGTGGTGGCCTGTCCAGTGGTTGTGGATGACGCCACTGGGGAGAGCTCAGCTCCGGGCCTGGCCTCTGCCTCCTGGGATTGTATGGCTCATTTTGATACCAGTGAGGCCATGCTGGCTGTTTTCTTCCATTGCTTTTTTGGGAGCCATCTGTTTCTTCAAAGTCCCTCATGTTAGCAATTTTCTCCTCAGGAACATCCTGAGTTTTGTTGCTGGTGGGTAATTTAGTAGGTACAAGTGGCTGATCAAAAGCTGCATCTTGTTTCCCTGGGTTACCATTAGCACCATCAGGGGTATTGATCTTCTCAAGCTCTTTGTAAAACTCACTCAGCGAGTCTTCAATGACAGACTCGGCTGCAGTTGTTTGTGGAGGAAATGCTGGACCGATGAAGGCAGAGCTGGTGAATCCTACCTCCCTTAACACGCGGTCCCTGACACTGCTGTCTGGAGCGCCACCGTCAGTGCCCACACACTTACTGTTTGTGTCAGCAGAGTCATCTTTACAAGCTTCTTTATCCTCACTCACACAAGATGTTTCTATGGCATCAGAGGTTGTACAACATAATTCAGGCTGAGACATCTGGATGAAAACAGATTAGAATACTTACAACATTGAAACACCACAAAAATACTACATAATAATACTGCATTTTATTCCTATTCTTATTATTTTGCTTTATTTATTTTATCTTATAGATTTTTCAGTGCTGCTATGCCAATTTATAAACGTAGCAGAAAAAGTAAGAAAAATGTTTGGTTGATTATTTCTTTGTAACAACGCTTTTTGGCCAAAAAAAAAAGGAAAAAAAAGAAAAAAGTTATGCTTGTGGAAAGCTTGTTTATTTGACCTGAAATGGTGCCGCATTTGTAAGGAAAATGCATTTCTGGGTTGAGCAGAAGAGTTGAATATGTGGGTTGCACCCATGAAAAATCTTCTCTGCTGATGCCAGCCACACATCTTATTCTGCTTCTGTCTCTTGTTTGGTGTTATTTACTGGAGTGTGATGATTAAAGTCTGAAGAAAGAAAGCATTTTGCCAATTTAATAATTTATTAATTAAACAAACAGGAGCCTGCCATCTCCTTTTCATGCTGGTCAACAGCTTGGTCACACACTGCTGTGGGATGCAATCCCATTTGTCAACCAGCATTTGTCACAAGTCAGCCAATGTGGTTGTGTTGGTCGTTCTGGCACGAACGCCCACAAAGCCTAAGCTGATCCCAAAAATATTCAATGGGACTTTGATAAACCCCGCTCTGTCAGGGTGAGTGTTGTGATCGTGGAGAATAAAGGTTAGTTCCAGACTGTGGGGATCTTTCTGCACTAAGATTGCCTCCAATGATGACAAGCCTTGTTTTTACAGTGAGGGAGATGACACTCCATATCATCACACTGTTCCCACCAAAAGCTGTTACCCTATCCAATCAGCATAAAGTTCCCTGTATCTTATCCACAGTCTGTCTCTATGATCCAACTGCGATAGGAGAAATCTCATTCGAGTCCATGCTCACAGGTGCTGATAATCAGGTACGTGATTGTCAACACATGGGGTGCCAGAAGCTCAAACTATGAGTCAATAGCAGAATAAGACCCTTGACATTGGCAGAAAAGATTTGGCGAGTTTTTCATTTTCCTTACAAATTTAAAGGGAAATAAACAGACTTTCCAACGGTATAAGACTTTTTGTCAATAACCCATGTAACAAAATATATACATCCACCAAAAACATTTGGCTTGCTTTTTGGGCTGGGTTTATATGTAAATACAAGTGCACATGATTACACACACCGTAGATTAATCAGCTAAAATCGAAACCATGTCTTCTGCCAACCATTAACCTTTGGCTAACGTGCCACAACACGAGTTGCACAGAAAACAAGAAAAATAAATAAACAAAATTGTTCACTACGTAAACGTAAAATGATAGAGTAACTGACGATATTCACGGTTGCCTACCGTTCATACTGGGGATGCATAAATTCAGGGGAAACCCACAATAACCGGTTTGCAGATTCAAAATCGCACTTGCCTTGTGTTTACGGAAGTGACTTTCTTCTTCTATTCTCTTATTAATGGCAGGCATCCTGGCCACTCGTTGCGTGAGCGACACCAGCGGGACTGAAAGGCGACGGGGTAGTGACAAAAATGGGTACAAAGAGCAGTAGCTACTTTATACAAAGAGCAGTAACTACTTCACCGAGTCCCGCTGTATTTTATAATGCCTGCGTTTCTATAGCGTATGTGAGCCGTTGCTATTCACTGCCCTGGACTGCATTATAAACTGCTTCCTGACATCTTTATATTGAAAATACCTAAATAAATTAAAAAAAAAAGAGACCAGAATTTAAAAAAAAAAAAAAAAGTCCAAGTCAGCATTACAGTTAAGCGAAAACAGCTAAATCAAATTGATATACTTGTGACATCTCCACAAACTAATCACTAGTGGTGTAGCAAAATGGTGAAATACTTAACGCTTTGAATCAAGATCACTCAAAGTGGTTATTACAAACTTTTTTATATGGTGAATTTCTTTAAGTTATACTGTATTCTTGTACCTATAAACCTTTTTTAAAGCTTCCAAAAATAAATCAATATTTGTCAGTTTGACATAACTGACAAATCTTACCTTGATTAATAACCCTTAATTAGTTGTTCCCACCTTTAGTAAAATGACTAAAGGAATTTGCTCATTTGTAGTCTAGAGGAATCATTTTTCTGTATGACTTTATCAGCCTCTCATATCTTCTTTACATTGTTTCAGTTCATTGAAGTTTGCTTGTATAAATGAATGTAACCAAACTATATTATGTGATTATTTCAGATGCAATTTGGCAAACCCGAGCTGTACTTTTATATAGATGCTCAAACTTGTTGACGATCAATTAATCAAGTACAGTTCATTAACAGCAAGTAGCTGCTACTTCCCTTCTTAATTCCTAAGAAGGCAGTAAGGATGTACCCCCCCCCCAAACAACAATACATTACTACAAGAATCCACCATTTTCTCAAACCTGAAGGTGTTCGTCTTTAAATGCAAAAACAGACCCACAGACCAAAACTGCTAGAATAAAATTCTGAATTTATTTAACACTGAATGCAGGAACCTCACAGAAACAAGTATAAAATTGTAAAACATTGTGAAGTGACATGATTTCAATATTTACTTTCCCCATTTTATGAGGCCAACAAGTCTACAAAAAACCCTAAAAAATGTGTTATATACACACGGAACCTTAACATCTACATTCAGTCAATTGAAAAGCTGTAGCGTGTTTGTCATCACACAGTGGTATGTATCTAGATTAAATTAACACGCAGTGCCTGGGTATCAATCATAGCCAGTTCCTCATCATTCACCCATTCATCCTCCCCTAGTTTGTGAGATGGTGTCTGTACAGTTTTTAAAGTGCTTGGTGTCACAGACCTCCGAGGTGGGTTGAATGTCTTATTTACACATGGAGAAGCCACTGAGCCCAGATGGGAAAGAGGTGGCGGAGACGGGATACGAGACAGATAGTCCAGTGCTCTCCTTCTTTTCAGGCTTTTGGGATCTTTTTCTGCTGAAGATGTTGGTGTAGGAGACTTCCTGCCGACAGGTGTGACGGATCCAAGGTTTCTGCCTGGCTTCTGAGAAATCACCTGTATAAAAAGACACAATCAAGATGATGGGCTTAGAACTGATATATTACTAGATGACATTATGTTATAACAGATATACTGAAAAACACCAGATACCACAGCATGAAGTTAAACTCACACTTGACTTTATGTCTTGTCTTCTGTCTGTTAGAGAAGCTGGTGTTTGTCTTTGGAGAGCTGGAGAGGAGCTGTAGCTAAGGCCATTTGATCTGACTAATTCTGAAAGCTTCTCTTCAGCAGTTACAAAGAAGTTCTCCTGACACTGAAAAGAAAACAAAAGTGATGAAAATGTTAACATTTTATTGCACTCAAATAAGTCTGAGATGAAGATAAACAAGGAAAAAAAATGTTAGTACACTACTTTATTACATTTTCTACAAAACAATTTTTAGTACTGAGGAGATTAGCACTTTTGCTGTGAGAGAGAGCAGTTTCTGAAGAATATCAGCAGCTTTTAAGGTTTTGATTTTAGCATCTTACCTGGACCAGAGTTTTAAGCTGGCTGAAAGATTCCTGTAGATGAACCTCTTTAGGATTTGTAGAAAAACTTGTCAGATCTCCAGCATACACAACAGGCGTGGGATGCATTGACTGACCTCTGAGCTGGAGGTTGCTCAGAGCCAATATGACGCGTGGTTTTAACATGTCTTCTAGGCCAGTCTGAGACAAGCTGCTGAAACAGCGAACTTTCACAAAATTTAGTTTCTCATCAGCCAAATAAAATGCAGGAGACGAACCTGTGTTCAAAAGAAGAAGACTTTTCAGCGAACTTGATGCGAGCAGTTGTAAGAAAAGCAAGTGATAAAACAAAAAAACAAGCAAACAAAAAAAAAAACAAAAAAAAACACCTACCCTTTCCATCTACAACATTGATGACATATCCTGCTAGATCAATTTCTCCACACAGTGCCTCAAAATCTGGATTTTGAAGATTCAAAAAATTTGTGCAAACTCTTGGTTGGAAGTATGTTGACAACCATTCATGTGATGCCTGAATGGAAACATTACAAAAGTTTCAATGACATGTTTAATTTATAAACGGTAAAAAAAAAATTCACATGTGCTAAAGGGAGTTTGTTTCCTACAGTACCTGGAGCTCTTGAAATTGTGTTTTCTTTGTCCCAGTGAGCTGAACAGGTTCGATACAGCTACGTTTCTTTCCATCTGAAGTGGTGAGGTTATAGACTTTGAATCGACAGCCTTCCTTTAGTAAAGACTGTAGATCTGAGGAAGGTCGCCAAAGATTCAGCTGGTAAACTGAAACCAAGATTAAAACAAAAAAAAGTTAGCACAACGTAGTTCGCAAGTTACAGTAATTATAAAAAAAAGAGTCAAACAAGAAGACAAATGAAGACACACCCCTGCCGGGTTGCTCCATGGAGTCGGCAATGCAGAGTCTCCACACGGGTGTAACCTCTCGTTTGGGGCAGTTCATTTCATTCTCCTCTGCTTCCAGAGCACGGTGATATCGATCCTGCAGTTCAGCTTGCTTCTTCTCCATCAGAGAGCGTCTGTAGGTATGAAGGGCCTCCAACTGGTGTGCACTCAAATGAGTCTAAGAGGGGAAAAATAATATACTAAAACCCTTCACAGCTGAAATTAGGCCAACAATCTGTAAAGCAAATGTTTTACTACCTCAAGGTAAGCCGGATCATCTCCCACTGCTTCATACAGCTCTTCTCCATCCTGCAGATTTGCAATTTCTTGATGACTGATTGTTTTTCTTCGCCGCTGTGGTTTGATACTCCCTAAAGATAAAAGCTTATAAAAAAACTTATCGAATTTCAGACTGTAGCAGCTTGTTGAACTTGTTGTAAACCTGATCCTTACCCTTTTCTTCATTTTCAAATTCAGATTGAATCTTGGCAAATAAGATTTCCATTGCTTTTTGTTTGTGACTGTTGTATCGTCTCGCCTCCTTCTCTTCTGCACGTGAAGAACGGAATACAACACTGCCATCTGGCTTCCTCTCCATCCACTGAGAAATACATATTAGACAGAGTTAAAAAGGATAAAACCCAAATCTGACTAACAGTGATTATATATCAGTGCACACCTGCATGGGATAGCTTCTCAGTACAACAATGTCAACAGATCCTACTGGACCTCCATTGCTATACAAACAGGAGATTGGAAGGAGGAATGGCCGAGGATCCTTGTGAAATCCTAGCTTAGCATCCCATCGTGCAGGTCTGCAGCTATTGGCACAGATCTAAACACATGAAGCAGAAGTAAGACACCTTCTTTTCTGGTTGTGTTGTGTAGAGATAAAAGTTGTGGTCTCTGTCTTAGACTACCTTTAACATCAGAGATTCAGGCGCCTCCAGAGGGGAGCAAGCATCTTGTGATCCGACCAGCTGAGCCCCATGGATGATCAACTTGCCCCCGACAGTCAGTCGACCTTTGTGAACCATTGCAGTCAAAGGTTCATCCAGCTGAGCTTTAATGGCATACCAACCATCTGTCAGCCAAATGAGTGCAGCTGAAGTTTCAACCTTTGCATCTGCACTGTGAGGGGTTTTGGTGTCATTGTGACTCTGTGTTTTTGGGGAGTGACCCCTGGAGATGATATCGCAAACACAGAGAACCAGGGTTTTGGCTGCCGTGTCATCCTTTTCCATGATCTTTCTCAGAGCTGGCCTGCGGCTGTGGTCCACCTCTACATCATATCTGACATAAACAGAATATGTTTTAGAAAAAAGCAATGAATACATTAAATTGAGTCAATAATTACCTAGCAGCTATTTTGCTAGGTAGATGCCAACATTTGTATCCCACATTTAACATTATCCCATTGTATTCAGCATAATTAGCTAAAAGTGTAATTCACTGCAAAGTCTATATTTTCAACATTTATTTTGCCTGTAAAATACCGTACAAAATGGCAGTTAGAAAAGCATAACAATACTTATTTGTCAACAAGATATGCAAATTAAAAAGTGACCTACAACTGCATAAATATCTGAGCAAGCTTTAGTTGCACATACCTGTACTTAAGTTGGAGGAGAATCTGCTCGGGTGTGAGACACCGGCTGCCCACTATTTCTGGAAAAGATTTTTCCATAGAGGCCTGCTTCCACACAATCCATCTGTAGTGATTGTACACCCATGCTTCACTGATCAATTTAGGATCCACACCCGGGGTGTCACATAAAGCTCTGTGGGCATATAAGGACGAGATATTTAGTATATTAAGCTTATATTTTATTGCTAAACCTGATTACTCCAATTCATTTAACACAAAGTGTGATTCAGTAATACCTATAAAACTCTTCTTTCCCCGCAGTCCCATCATTGCTGGGGACCAGCCATCCTCCATCAGCAAGCTGAACTCCACCTTCATCTGTAAAGGCTTCCAGTTTGATGAACTGCAGCAGGCTGAAGCGGAAAGATTCTGCATTCTCACTGGTGATATCGGAAACATATTTTTGGACTCCATATCCATAAAGCTGAAAAATAAAAACAAGTACATTTGTGTCTCACAGTCTGTGTTTAAAACCAAAACAAACAAATCCAAGTATGCTTAAAAATGCTAAAAAACCCAGTGACAGTCACAGCCTTGCCTTTTTTGGGGTGT